TGGGAAAGCTTTTCAACTACGGATGCCTGGATACACCCCAGACCAATTGAATCAGATACGCACTGATAGATTTATATGCAGCTATAGAAAATAACATAGAGATTCCTTATATTCTTTACCTTGTTTTCCCCAATAGAAATAGTTTCTAAATTTTTCATACGGTTTCTATAATATTATGGTTTACATTTTTTGGCTGTGACTCATTTTGAGTTAAATTTTATACAAGGCGTGAAACTTTGGCCGAGTTATGGGATTTTTGTTTGTTTGTTTTGGTTTTTGCCTGTGGGTGTCAAGTTACCAGCATCATTTGTTCAATAGGCTTTCCTCTATTGAATTGCATTTGCACCTTGTCAAAAACTAATTTGCCATATTTGTGTGAATCTATTCCTGGGTCCTCCGTTTTGATTCAGTGACCTATATGTCTATCCCTCCATCAATACCACACAGTGGTTTTGCTTTTGTTTTTTGAAACAGGGTCTCACTCTATCACCTAGGCTGGAGTGCAATGGCATGATTATGGCTTACTACAGCCTTGACTTCCCAGGCTGAAGTGATCCTACCGTCTCAGCCTCCTGAGTAGCGGGGACTACAGATGCACACTACCATGTCTGGCTAATTTTTTAAAGCTGTGTGGTAGGCCTTTTTTTTTTTTTTTGAGATGAGGTCTCACTGTGTTGCTGCTCTTGAACATCTGGTCTCAAGAGATTCTCCTTTCGCAGCCTCTCACAGCACTGAGATTATAGGCATGAGTCACTGCACCTGGCCTACCACACAGCTTTTATTACTCTAACTATATAAATTTGAAATTGAATAGACTAAATCCTCCCACTTTCTTCTTTTTAAAAAATATTCCTTTCCCTTTCATATAAATTTTAGAATGATCTTGTCTATAGTTACAAAATACTTTGCTGGTATTTTGATAAGGTTTGCATTAAACCTATATATCAATTTGGAAAGAATTAGCATCTTTATGATGCTGAGTCTCCCAGTCTATACACGTTTGTCTCCCCAATTATTTAGGCCTTCTTTAATTTCTTTCATCGGCATTTTTTAGTTTTCACCATGTAAGTACTGTATGTTTTGTTACTTGTATGCCTAAGAATTTCATTTTTGGAACAATTATAAATGATATTTTATCAATTTTAATATATATTCACTGCTACTGTATAGATATACAGTTGATTAAAGAAAACGTGTTTTTATGTTGACTTACGCTATCCACTGGAATATTAGTTCTTAGATGGCAGGAATAGTGTTCATTTTGTTCAGTGCTGTATCTCCAATGCCTCAAACACTGCCTGGTACATTGTAAGTGCTCAGTTCTTATTGAATGAACAAATGGGACGCCTTTCTATTTATTTTAATCTTACATCCTTCAGAAGTACTTTAAGGTTGCCTTCATATAGATCTTGCACATTTTTGTTAAGTTTTTTCCTAAAGATTTTACCTTTTGGCTGTTGTAAATGGGGCCTTCTCTTCTATAACAACCTTTAGTGGCTGTTGTTTGTCTATATAAAGGATATAGTTTCTGCATACTAATTGTATAACCATCTGTGTTTTTAAGTATCAATTTTTTATAATTCTCTTGTGTTTGTCAAGCATCACTGTTACTTTTCTTAAAACTTTCTGGAGTTCAGTAATTAAAAAGATTGAATACAAACACAAAGAAAAACAGCAAACAACTGCATTTCATACTATCAGTGGGATTCTATTTGGTTATGTTGAGTAAGTAATGGTACAGATGTAAACCTATACCATTTATTTTCCAAGATCATTAAATATGGTGATTAAGGAAAAAGTCAAATCCAGAACCACCTTTTTCCTCACTAGTTAGACATCATCTGTTGCCTGTGCTGCTTGGTAATTGAAAGAGATTACCGTGCCCCTACAAGGTTCTCTTAATTGGGGGAGTGATATTTGCAATTTAAATCACAAAAGAAAGAAATCCTCAGTACATATTGACTTGCCTAAGTTCCACTGTTTTACAGCAGTGTTTGTTCAGTAAGCCTTGATATATAAGTGAACTCATGCAAATAAATACATCTATCTTCTTCTGTCTTCATTAGATCATTATGCAGACATTAAACACCAAAAAGGCATTAAATGATTGATTGGCTAAGTGGAGATTTCAGGTGAGCTGAAAGCAAACTCCAAAAGCAGGTTCCTTTCTCTCCAGACCACTTCTTCTCTCCCACTCCCTACAGAAGCATCCATAAAAGATTTAGTCAATTCTTCAGGGACCAGAGATACTTATTGGCAGTTACCATTCTTGTGATTCAGCAAATTTTCTTGCAAGAATGTTCTATCTTTACTCCTGAGTTTTGCCTCATTTATATTCCTTCTTTGGTCTGCTCTACTCAGCTAATCCTGGTCGATAAGTACAGCAGGTTGGATAGAAGACAAAGCTGTAAAATAGATAGTGCATTTGGAACCCCACGCCTTCGCTCTACATTGTTGCCTGGACCATCTTCTTTGTGGCTGCTTCGCCACAACTCACACTGTGTGGCACAGTGGTCTGTGATGTTGCCTCTTTGACTAGGCTGTGGCCGTCTTGAGGATAATGGCCTTAACTTTTTCCATCTTTGAGTTTGTCTAGCTCAGAGTAGGCATTCAATACGTGCTTGAATCAATGAATGCACAAATTACTCAATTAGCTGATACAGGAATATTTTCTCAATTTCACATTATTAAAATTAGCTCTTAGGAAAACATTTGAAATGCTTTTCAGTGACAGGGTAATTGACTATTATCACTTTAAAAAGTAGCCAGATTGATGAATTTATATTTTAATAATGATGAAATTAAACTAAAGTAATTGAGCTTTTCTAGATTTTCAATGTTCAGCCAAAACCCCGGGAAGCACCTGGGTTCCTTCTGGAGAAAATGACATTGTCCCTCCCCCATAAGGCTGTACCTGTACATCCCGTTTTATGTAGGAAGCATGTCCTTGAAAACTTGGAGTAGAAATAAAAATTTTTTGAATAGAAACTTCTCACATGCGTGGTGTTACTATTTCATATTTGCTTCTTCATGAAAATTGGATAGACCTTTAAGATAGGCACTTAAAAATCTATGCTTCCAACCCTACAAGTAAAGTTCTATAATCAAATGTTTAAATATACAGGGTGACTCTGCATATTTAAAGAAAGTACAAAGAATCTTTTTGTTGGCAGAATTGTTAGGCACATTATGTCTCTTTAATATGAATGGTCATCTATTATGTCATTTTGGTTACTTTAATTATTAATTTTATTTAAAAAATGTATACCTAGCCTTCTACCAACAAGGGTTTAGAGGGATTGTTTATTAAGTTGATGTCTTCGAATATCAGTTGAACCTATATATGTTTTCATGAGATTTCTGGGGGTTGCTGTGTTTTGTTTTAAGGAGCACAGGAGAAATGCACACAGTGGTAGGATTTGTTACAGATACTTCTGGAACAGGTGACCTTTTAAGGTCCTGTACTTTCATGAACTTGACAAGAATTTTCATTCTTGAATTTCAATTCCTATTTGGTCTTTCATACAAAATGTCATAGATGAAGCTGACATTATACACACCCAGACTCCTCCTTGGCTTCTACTTTAAAAGACAATAATGACCTATGTATACAGTGTCAGGAGACTGCCATGAAAAAGCAGGCTTCCAGAGATGGTATGCTGGTGTGTTAAAATCACAGGAGCTGGCAAACTCAAAAGCCCTGCCTTGAAGGACATTCTGTAGGCTGCTGAGGAAATAAGTAGCCTGCCGTCCCCTGCCTTTTTCCCCAAGTACTCTGTTCTCTTCACTAGATCAGATGAGATACTGTTTCCTTATCTAATGTAATTTCATTTTTTCATTGGCTAGTGGGATAATATACTAGGAGCAGCAATTTAAAAACCTTTATGATATGCATTCATAGATATTTTCAACATTATAATTAACTGTATGTAATTGGAAAAAGGGTTAAGGTGTGCAAATAATCTTTTTTTTAATTTCACTTTGAAAAAGCAAGTTTGTTTTTGCATTTTAATATGTGCCTTTGATGTTCTAGAAGTTCATTACCCCTGAAATGCATAACTTAATTTAGGAGAAGTTGGAAAATTGGATAATTTCCCCATTCCTACCGAGAAAATATATTTGCAGATTGGGGAATAACATCAGAGAGAATTTTAAAACGGCATTTATTCTAATTAGCCTCTAGAAGGTAAATATTGACTCATTTTTATTTCTGAAGAGAAGGAATTCTTACAGTTTTACCTTCTGCTCTGACTAAAATCAAAAGGTTTGAGTTTTGTCTTGCTATATAGACATTATCCCCACAAGATCTGTGAAAGTTAAAAATTTTGTAAGTAGAAAATGAAAGATTTATGGCAGTTACCTGGAAATTCTGAGGATAAACCCTGCCTTGCCATACCGTGACATATTCTGCAAGAATGATATGAGTTGTTACATACACCGTCATACTTTGTTTTTGAAAGACAAAGAAAGTCAAGTCAATAATATTTTTCTAGAACCTGTAGAAAGCTCTCTTCTCCTTTCATGGGGCTTCCTAACCTGAAACCAACCATGAACTTGGAGTCTGCCACTGCGCTATATACATTCATATTATTATCTAAAATTCTGTTCTGATTCCCTACTTTACAACTTTTAATTGTTCCCATTGGAGTTACAAAGAGAGAAACCAGAGAAATTCACCCAGGAATGGCAGAAAACAAAGGGTGAATATTATTTGTACATAAGACAATTTGGACTATTTATTGTCAACATGGAGTGAATACAGAAAAAAAAAAACGGTGCCTACTTTCATAACCTCTAATAGAATATCTACCTCAGCATTGTCTGCATGAACATCTTTATGAGATATCCTGTAAATTATAATGGAAGGAGGCCATAGATAATCTTTTCTCATAAAAGAAAAAGTGGAAAGAGCTTCTGGGGAGGAGTCACTTAACCATACACAAAACAACTTTGGTGATTCTACTCCCATTTTAATAAGGCAAATGCTTTTCTTTTAACAGAGGAATTCAAGGGCTCCACAGTTGTTGAGCTGATGAAGAAGGAAGGCACTACCCTGGGTCTGACGGTATCGGGAGGAATTGATAAGGACGGCAAGCCAAGGGTGTCTAATCTGCGGCAAGGAGGAATTGCTGCTAGGTAACTGCCTCTTGGGGAAATCTACTGAAAGGAATACAGGGTGTAATTAATTCAAAAATTAAAGCTCCATCAAAAGTGGCCACTAATAAATAAATGACAACTGCCATCTGCCGGGCAGCACAGGCCAGCAGAAGCACAGCGGGGCACGTTTCAGAAGCTGCTCCCAGGTCTGCCCGCGTGGCTGTCCTGGCCTAGGCTGCAATCACCAGGGAGATTCTTGTGTCATCTCAGGAGCTGCCAGGTCCTCATAAGATTTTAATTTTAAAAAGCCTATGTGGATCTAGTCTGCAAATGTGCCACTGAACAGCAGACAAGCTGCAGTGGGAAGGAGACGCTCCAATCATCTAAATGTTAAATCTTAGAGTTCTTGCTCATAAAATGTCATCTGAAGTGGTGATTTCTGTGATTACTTTTAGTGATCAACCTGTTTGTATAATTTATAAACTTAATCCAGTGGATTGCTCCATGATCAGAAGGTACTGTTTGTAAGGGAGGCTGGTGTGGACACAAGCACCTCAATCTACTTTCCTTAGGCTTGTAAGAGGCATCTTTCCACACCCATAGCCTCCTTTATTTTATAACAATCATGACCAGTTCGTGAGGCTAGGGGTTCATAAGTCTCCAGAGCTTCTTTATATCTGTCCCTCAAAGCAAGTGCGAAGGGGGAGAGGGGTAGCATTTTCAGTTGTATTAATGCTGTAATTAAAAGTATTACTGTGCCAGTTATATTGAGTATTAAAAATCACCAAATAGTCACTAAGGCACTATCATTTTGCAGGTAGTAAATCAAAATAACTAAAGGTGAGATCCCTGCCCTAAAGGGGCTCATAATCTATTAGTGGAGATAAGGCATAAAAAACATGAAACATTTGGGAGCAACAGTGGCATTGCATAATAGCAAAAGGCAACAACATGTCATTACAGATGTTATTACAGACGTAAGTCAGGAAATGAGGTAAGGGCCATGCACGTACTGCAGACTGGGGCAGATTAGGAGGCTTTTTGAAGGAGGAATGATTGGAACTAGATTTATATATAAAATAAATGCATTAGCTATTTCTATTCTGGGAGAAAATGTTATTGAAGGTCCTTATCAATGACATGAATTTTAACACCTGTTATTGGTCTTGCTACCTGCTCTTGGTTTAGAAATGGAGTTTGACTAAAGCCCAAGTGCAGCCAATATTCTATTATGGTGGTATAGAGAGACAGGAATGGTACTGAAACCCAGCATTTGCATCATGATTTCTCCTGCACCAGTACTCTTCTTATCAATCCTGCTGTAAACCATAAATAGCAAAATTAGCTGACCCTTTCCTTAGTCCTGGACAAACTCCCAGTGAAGTTATTGAAAGCTGTAAATGTACAAAAGGCAGACAGCAAAAATGAGAGAGACTGAGAATAAAAAGACGTGCTATGCGTCACACTGCCATGTGTGCAACTCTGCAACAATCTTCCGTGTTCTTCACATGTACCCCAGAACCTAAAATGCAATTTAAAAAAAAAAAAAGGTGTGCTATGTCTAGGATCTGGATTCCATCCCAGAGGACCAACTGGCTTAGGGCAGAGCAACAACGACAACAAAAAATTCTTCTCTTGATTTTGTTTATGGTGCTTTTCAAAATAGGCAAAAAGGAAAAAATCAGAGATAGTGGCAGACTTAGAGCAGGACTTCCAAGGTATCACAGGCAGCATGAGTAAAAGGGATCCCTGGCTCTCATCTGATGTCAGCTGTATTCCTACCTTTAAGGGCCCGCCATCTCCTAGGAGGCAGGTACTTCTGCTGTCCGTCCTCTAGGCTTGCTTCTACACTTGCATGCCTACTCATGAAGAGAATGTGGAAATATAGTCAGACTGGCTTATGGAGAGGGTGGGTCTGCTGAAACAACATTGTCTATTTTGCAGAAGTGACCAGCTGGATGTAGGTGACTACATCAAAGCAGTGAATGGAATCAACCTGGCCAAATTCCGCCATGATGAGATCATCAGCTTGCTGAAGAATGTGGGAGAAAGAGTGGTTCTTGAAGTAGAATATGAGCTTCCGCCAGTCTGTAAGTACAGTAGCCCCTGCTTATCCACAGGGGATACATTCCAAGACCCCCCAGTGGATGCCTAAAACTGCTCATAATACCAAACCCTATATATATATATTTTTTCTATACTTGCATACTTAATAATAAAGTTTAATTGTAAATTAGGTACAGTGAGACATTAACAGCAGTAAGTGGCTAGGTACAGTGGCTCAGTTCTGTAATCCTAACACTTTGGGAGACTGAGGCAGGAGGATTACTTGAACCCAGGTGTTCAAGACCAGCCTAAGGAACATGGCAAAACCCCACCTCTACAAAAATTTAAAAAATTATCTGGGCATGGTGGTGCACTCCCAGCTACTCGGGAGGCCAAGGTGGGAAGATCACTTTAGCCCAAGATGTTGAGGCTGCAGTGAGCCATGATCGCACCACTGCCATCCAACCTGGGGAACATAATAAGGTCCTCTCTCAAAAAAACAAACAAATTCAACAGTAATAAAATTGAACAATCATATCAATATGCCAATCTCACTACTCTTGTGCTGTGAGCCATTATTAAGTAAAATAAGGGTTCCTTAAACACAAGTACTGTAAGGGCTGGGGGCGGCTGTGTATGCCTATAATCCCAGCACTTTGGAAGGCCGACAGGAGGATCACTTGAGGCCAGGAGTTCAAGACCAGCCTGGGCAACAAAAGGAGATCTTGTTTCTACCAAAAAAAAAAAAATTACTTGGGCATGGTGGCATACACCTGTAGTCCCAGCTATTTGGGAGGGTGAGGCAAAAGGATCCCTTCAGCCCAGAAAGTCAAAGCTGCAGTAAGCTGTGATGGTGCTATTGCATTCCAGCCTAGGTGACAGAACAAAATCCTGTCTCAAAAAAATAAGAAAAAAAGTACAGCAATAATATAACAGCCAATCTGATACCCAAGATGGCTGCAAAGTGACTAAGGCAGGTAGTGTAAACAGCATGAATGTGCTGGACATCCAGATGGATAAAGCAGACAGTGTGAGATTATCATCACACTCCTCATAATAGCACGCAATTTAAAACTTAGGAATGGTTTCTTTCTGGAATTGTCTACTTAATATTTCCAGACTGCAGTTAATTGGGAGTAACTGAAACCACAGAAAATAAAGCTGCAGATCAGGAGGAATTGCTGTCATCATAACCCACAGGAAGATCAGCTGCACCACAGTATTTCCAAAGCAAAACCAGCTTCTTAATTTTTTTCCCTTTGCCATCAATATCTCATTACAGGAATGGTAAAGCCAACTTTCTTGATATTTAAAAATTATTTGAATTGAAAAACTTACTGCCTACTCAGGAAGAATTAAAAAGGGCATAGCTAACAATGAAATTATGAAGGGCCTGTGTTCTGTAAAGGTGATCTGTGAACATCATATTTGCCACTTAAGCCATTTTAATTCAACATACTTGTAAGTTTTGTGCAATAAGTACCATCTAGGCTTTGTATTTAGTGACTAGGTTTTTTAAAAAAAGCCTATTTAGTGTGTTTTACGTTGATTCTTAAATGGATATATTCATTTCTTTTTTAATTTTTAATTTCTGTGGGCACATAGGAGGTATATATATTTGGATATATCATATATATGAAAGTAGCTTCAGAACGCATATTGTCAAGTAGTATTAATAGCAGTATTAGCTAACAGATTTTTTTTTTTTTTTTTTTGAGACAGAGTCTCACTCTGTTGCCCAGACTGAAGTGCGGTGGCGTGATCTCAGCTCACTGCAACCTCCACCTTCCAGGCTCAAGCAATTCTCCTGCCTCAGCCTCCCGAGTAGCTGAGATTACAGGCACCTGCCAACACACCCAGCTAATTTTTGCATTTTTAGTAGGGACGGGGTTTCGCCATGTTGGCCAGGCTGGCCACGAACTCCTGACCTTAGGTGATCCACCCGCCTTGGCCTCCTAAAGTGCTGGAATTACAGGCATGAGCCACCACATCCAACCCAACAGATTTTGATTGTACCAAATGTCTGGCATTATAAAGAACTTGACTTCCATTAAGTTTATTTAATCCTTTCCACAAGGGGTGTCAGCATAGTAGAGATTAACTTTATATCCAATAACCAGGTTCAAATCCCAGCTCCACATTTTACTAGCTACATGCCTTTGAGAAAGTTATTAAGCTTTCTATGTGTTAAGTTTCCACATCTGTAAAATGGGAATATTATAGTTCCCATATGTAGATTTGTTATGAGGATTAACTGAGTTAGTATTTGGAAAACACTTAGAATAATGCCTGGCACTGTCAATGTTCTCAATAAATAATAAGGCAATCAACACTACAAGATGGGCATTCTTTTTTTCATTTTACAAAGGCTTAAGTATTTTCCCAAATTAATAAGCTGCAAAGTCAATATCTGAATCCAGGCTGCCTGACTCCAAAGTCCATATGCATATTCATTGTGAAGGAGACCGATACATGACTGCTGCCCTGCATTTAAGCTGTGCTGTTCTAGCACCACCTCTCCTATTATTAGCTATGAACATGGATGCTACCCAGATATAGCTCTTTGCTCTTCCATACTAGTGGGAACTCAAGTTGGTTATGAAGAGTTGGTAGAATTCATTTGTTCAGCAATGACTTATTGAGCATTTACTATGTTCCAGCCACCACTATGTACTAGGAGCTTGGGGAATGTGAGTAGAGTTTATATTCTATCAGAAGACAGATAATAAAATAGAACCATAATAAATAAGTAAATTATATAGTGTGAATAATATGAATGCTATAGGGAAAAGCAGTGCAAGGAAAGGGATTGGGAGTGCTGGGATCAGGGCAGGAATGCAATTGCAAATGGGGTGATTAGGACAGCATCATTGAGAATGTGAGATCAGTCAATGACTTCTGAAGGAGGTGAAGGAGTTGGCTGTATGGATTTCTGGGGAAAAAGTTCAAGGAAGAATGAACAGTCAGTGCTAAGACCAAAAGGTGGGAATATACTTTGGGTTGTTCTAGAAACATTAAGGAGGACAGTGTAGCTATAGCAGAATGAGCAGTAAGAGAATTAGGAAATGAAGTCAGAAATGTAAGGGGGTGGGGTGGCCTTGCAGGCCATTGAAAGGAACTTGTTTTTCTCTGAATGATACAGGAAGTCACTGTATGGTTTGGGGCAGAGGAGTGACACCATGTGATTTATGTTTTCTGAGACTCTCTCTGGCTGCTGCATTGAGAGTAGACTATAAGAGACCAGGATAGAAGCTGGTTGATGAGCTGGAGGTCAATTACAGTGATCCATGTGAGAGATGGCAATAGAGACAGTGAAAAGCAGTCAGATTCCCGATCTATTTTGAAGGGAGAGCCTACAGGATTGCCTAATGGATTTGATGTGGGTTGTGCAGCAATAGAGGAGTCAAAGTTAACCCCAAGATTCTGAGTATGAGCAGCTGGAAGGACAGAGTATCCATTAACAGGGGTCGGTAAGAATGTGAGTTGAGCTGATTTGTGAGAGAAAGATCAGCAGTTCATTGTTGAAATACCACATTTGAGGTGCCTATTTGACATGCAAGATGAAATGTCAAGACATGAAGATATGATTTGGAGTTTGAGAGAAAGATCTCGACTGTAAATATACATTTGAGAGTAATGGGAATATCAGTGGTGTTTGAGGCTTGGGGACCAGATGAGAGTACAATACTCAGGAAGCATGTGCATAACCAGTCACAAGTTCTTTTCTTCACATAAACTCTAACCCAGAAGATTTAGTAGTCATTTTGTAACAAAATCAATTTGAGACTGTTCACAAACCTTACTACAACTTTTTTTCATTTTCAGCAACACTAGCCAATAGAATAGGGTGTAAAGGCTTGGACTGTGTCAGTAGTTAAATGGCAGCTTTGCTCACTTTTGTCTTTGTGACCTTGGGCATGTTATTTAAATTCTCTGAGACTTCAGTTTCTAACCTGTAAAATAGCTATAGTAGTTGCAGAAATTTGGAATGATTCAGTGTTATAATCACATAATCACTATTGAGACCGTTATCAAATACTTGGTAAGTAACTAATAATATTAGCCATTATTACCATTATTACATTGTTATACTGAAAATACTGTGTTTTCTTGAACTTTAAATGAGTCAGTTTGATTTGAAATCACTCTCTCAAACCATTGCCAAAGACATAAGAGAAACCAGATATCTAGAGCTAATCTTCTTTGATTATACATTTGTATTCCTCTGGGGATATGAATATCAGTAAAATGCAACCCATTCCTAAAAGAAACTCTAAGTATATCTTTCAGGCAAAGGCCAATAGTGAAGATTTGTCCAGTGTCGTAAGTGATTCAGAGCTAGGGGTTTCTAGGAAGACTTAAAGGAGGTTGTGCCAGCCAGGTGGTAAGAGGAATAGTCAGACAAAGGCTGCACCCCAGTGCACAGGTTAAACTACAAACAGATAGGCGAAGACAGAGAAGGGGCCAGATGCAGTGGCTCATGCCTGTAATCCCAGCATTTTGGGAGGCTGAGGCGGGTAGATCACCTGAGGTCAGGAGTTCAAGACCAGCCTGGCCAACATGGTGAAACCCCATCTCTCATAAAAATACAAAATATAAAAATTACCCAGGCATGGCGGTGGGTGCCAGTAATCACAGCTATTTGGGAGGTTGAGGCAGGAGAATCGCTTGAATCTGGGAGGCAGAGGTCGCAGTAAGCCAAGATGATGCCATAGCACTCCAGCCTGGGCAACAGGGCAAAAGAAAGAGAGAAAGGGCTTGGAAAAAGATGAGGCCAGTGGGGCACACGAGGACCAAATGAGGGCTTTATAAGCCATATTGATAGAGCTTGGTATCCAGTGGTCCATGAGGAGCCCTTAAAGGGGAAAGGCATCACAAGATCCGAGTTTTTAGACTTATCATTGTGGGAGACCAAATAGAAAACCAGAGGCTACAAGCCCAAAGCCTGTTAGGATTTTTCAAAACAGAAGTGATATCCTAAATTAAAACAGCATTAGTAGAGTTAGAAGAGAAGATGTGTATCAGAAATGTTTAGGAGTCAAAACCTGTTATGACTTGGTAAGTACACAGTACCATCTTTTTCTCACTCATACAATAAAGCTGATGGGAAAGGGGGAAAATATTTTTAAACACAAAAGTGTGTCCCAGCACTTTAGGAGGCTGAGGCGGGTGGATCACGAGGTCAAGAGATCGAGACCATCCTGGTCAACATGGTGAAACCCCGTCTCTACTAAAAATACAAAAAATTAGCTGGGCATGGTGGCACGTGCCTGTAATCCCAGCTACTCAGGAGGCTGAAGCAGGAGAATTGCCTGAACCCAGGAGACGGAGGTTGCGGTGACCCGAGATCGTGCCATGGCACTCCAGCCTGGGTCACAAGAGCGAAACTCCATCTCAAAAACAAACAAACAAACACAAAAGTGTGAATTGTTATGATGGAAATAAAAAGGGGTCTATTTTCCAAAAATACTCTTTGTCTCTTTCTATTATATTTGAAGAAAGTAGTAAGATAATTGAGTTCAGAGTGGTTGAAGGGATTAATAAGTTTCCCTTTCACTTAGCTTGGACAGCTAGAACAGAAAGAAGCCATCCACAGCTGAAGGTCCATGGGGAGAACTGACTGCCAAAAAACAAGCCACCCAAGGCCAAGACTGGTTGCTCTCTCAGGATCACAGCAGTTTGAGGCTCAACTGACCACAGAGTTCAGAAAGAACCAGGAGAAGAGAGAGAGAGAGAGAGAGAGAGAGAGAGAGAGAGAGAGTGTGTGTGTGTGTGTGTGTGTGTGTGTGTGTGATCTGATAGAAGAAAACTGGTTTGACCTTGGCCCTTTCTGAGATTCAGTTTCTTTATGAAAATAAAATGATTGGTCTACATATACTCTAAAGCTCTTTGTGACTTTAAAATTACGTGATGCTTTGAGGCTGTATTTAGGGAGAATATTACCAACCTGTAACTTAGATATTTATGTATTAAAAGTTAGTCTAGGCTGGGTGCAGTGGCTTACACTTGTGATCCTAGCACTTTGGGAGGCTGAGGCAGAAGAACCCCTTCAGCCCAGGAATTCTATCCTTGGCAACATAGAAAAACCCTGTCTCAATTAAAAATAAAATAATAAGAATAAAAAAGTTGTTTTAGAGGAGTGCCTTCAAATTTTTTGGTCACTTAACTCTTAAAGAATTGTGAAATGTTAGATAATTCTCATCCATTTTTAGTTAACACCTAAAATTATCTTAAGGATAAATAGAAAGGATGCAATTCATAGCACATTATTTGTTTTATATGTCCTTAAATTCTGTTTTCATGCAAACCTTGGAGCTACAGAACTATCTCATTTAATGAAAAACAGTCTGCCTTATAATCTGATTGGCAAAGGCAATCTTCACTGTTAATCCATTAGCTAACTCAGATGAGCTTCCTATCATAAGGAGTCATTTTTAAGTCAAATAAATGTGCTACACTATGTCCTTGTGACAGTCTTCTGACTTCTCAGTTCTAAAATAGACAGATGATAGATGATGGTGGTGGTGATGGTGGTGAGGAGGAGGAGGAAGAGGATGGAGGAGAGAGGGAGAAAGATAGTCTCAGATCTCCTCCATGTGATTTATGCTGGGATTCAGTCTGAGGGAACAACAGCTACCAGGAGGAAGCTCTTCCTGTGACAATGGCAGAGGAAAAACAAGGCAAGCGCAGCCATGTAAGTGCAATTTCAGCCTCTGCTTGTGTCTCTTAACATCCTAGTGGCAAAAGTAAGTCACATGGGCAAGTGCAGCATAATGAGGTAGGAAAGTTCACAACTCCTATTCTCCTACTGAGGCAAGGAATAGGGAGGCAAGGAAGGAGTTTGCAATTTCAAAAACCTCATCTACCATAGAAAAATAACTGTATAGAAGTATATGCAGATCCACATATAGTAAGAAAAGACAGTAGCACAACTGAAAGACCGAGGAAAACTTTTGTGTTGTGAACTTGGTTTCTACCTACCCTTGGATTCTTTGGGTAAGCTCTTTAATTGGAGTGTTGTGTACACATATATATGTCTGAGTCATTAGTAAAATCTACATGGCAATGCAGGATGTCTACTACTGCATGTGAAAACCCAGTCATGAAGAGCAAGCCATGCAAATAGAAACTATAAAGACCAGATCTATTTCATTAATTGTATTAAAATGCAGTCCACATTCAAATTTATCTTTGTAAATGATGGAGAGCAATAGTGTGAATAATCTAAAGCTGTAGAAAATACAAAGCCTTTATATTGAATTTAAATTTGATTGTAAGATTTTGTAGTCAGCAAGATTTAGCTAAAGCAAAATCAAAATTACAGTGCTTTGCATTCCCATAACAGATACCAAGCCAACAAGGACAGGTGGCCCAGAATTAGAATTCAGTTATGTAACATTGAAAGTTGATTTACTGAATAAATGAAATAATATGTGTAAACCATTTTGCAGAGTTCTGAGCACACACTAAATTCTTATTAATTATTTCTCTCCATATCCTTTCTTTTCCTCGCTTACTGAGAGAACAAAAAGATAATATTCTTAACCAATTTCTTCAAGTGGATTGTTGGGCCACCGAAATAAGGAAACATTTGGAATGAACTCAATTTTTTTGTTTAATTAAAACTGTACCTCAACACTTTCATCTGTTTGTGTGTACTGTTCCTAGTTGATTAGTCTAAGCTGAAATTCCCCTGATGGCAAGAATATGACATTTAATTAAATCAGCAGTATACCAAAATATTTTTCAGCTGCAGGTTTATGTTGTTTTTCAGCAGATCCAAATTTCTATTGTACTTTATGTCCCAGCCAGATAGTGGACAGTTTTATGAATTTAAATGGGTACTTTTCTTAATCATGTCTATTCCCTTGAGGGTTCAGAATTTCTGATCATTAAAAAAGTTGTAATTAATGCCTAAAACTACTTGCTATTTCTGTAAATGACAAGAAAAGTTTTTTTTTTTTTAAACAATGCCTTTGGATTCTTCCTGTATGTTTCTTGCTGATAGTTTTATGTAATAAACCCTCTGGATCTAGTAGCAATGTAAAAAAATGTGTAAATTGATAATGTACATAGCATTAACTATGTACAAATTCAAAATAAAGATCTAAAACTCTCTTCTTCTATATATTACAAGTTTTTCTGTCTCCATGAATAGAAACATCCCTCTATGCATAATGATAAAATACCAATTTGTGGAAGTTTTATGGTTTTTTTCATGCAGAAATAGTATATAGTACAACCAGAATGATTCAACAGGTTCTTGAAAGCAATTTTACAGAATATTTTAGTGACTATACTTTCATATGCCTTATACCCTCATATGTATGTGTAATATAACTAGAGATTGCAACTTGGCAATGCAATTCCATTTTGTTAAATGAAAGTAGTAATCAGGCAGACATAACATAAGCATAATGTATCAAGTAAAATTAAGTTAATCTTTAGTTTCTTAGTTCATAGTAACATTTTGAATGTACTTAGAATTTCTTTTGCCCTCCAAGTTTCATCTGGGTTGCTGTGTCTTAGTTCAATAGCTGTTTATATGTCAGAACATCTATTAGCATCAGCCTAATTGTTGATAGGGACCTGAGAATGGTAATTTTTCTTCCTGTGCCAGCTGCAAAATAAATACAGAAGATATTTTATAAGTGCTACAGAAATATTGTTTTTGCATTTTCCAAAAGAAAACAATTCTACTTATATGTAAATATTGTCTCTCATTATATAGAGATTAAATAATGTAAATATCACACTCTTATCTAGAGAATAACTACATGGAAAGAAAAAAACTAGCTATGATTTTGGTTCCACTTGTATCTATGTTAGTCACTTATGCAGATGACTGTTTTATGGTATTTTTATGTCATTACAATTTTTTAAACATTTTCTTTGAATAGAAATTGTTGCTTATTACTAAAAACAGAACATTTTTTCAAGAGGGATCTGTAATATTTTATGCCACATTGAATGATTTGGAAATGTTATGATGACTTACAACTTATATTTCCTTCTTTCTTTTCCTTATTCAGCTGTGCAAGGATCAAGTGTTATTTTCCGAACAGTGGAGGTCACATTACATAAAGAAGGCAATACCTTTGGTTTTGTAATACGAGGTAGGTGTTGGTTAGAAAAATCTACATTGAAAAAAAAAAATTACTTCCATAGGTTTTCGGGGAGCAGGTGGTATTTGGGTATTTTGTTACATGAATAAGTTATTTAGTGGTGATTTGTGAGATTTTGGTGCACCCATCACCCACGCAGCATACACTGAACCCAATTCGTAGCCGTTTATTCCTCACCCCCTTCCCCCTTCCCCCTTCCCCGCTCCGGGTTCCCAAAGGATCCCTTGTATCATTCTTATGCCTTTGCATCCTCATAGCTTAGCTTCTACTTACTAGTGAGAACATACGATGTTTGATTTTCCATTCCTGAGTTGCTTTCACTTAAAATAATGGCCTCCAATACCTCCAGGTTGCTGCAAATGCCATTAATTTATTCCTTTTTATGGCTGAGTAGTATTTTATTGTATATGTATACCACAGTTTCTTTATCCACTGGTTGATTGATGGGCATTTGGGCTGGTTCCATATTTTTGCAATTGCGAATTGTGCTGCTATAAATATGCATGTGCAAGTATCTTTTTCATATAATGACTTCTTTTCCTCTGGGTAGATACCCGGGAGTGGGATTGCTGGATCAAATGGTAGTTCTACTTTTTGTTCTTTAAGGAATCTCCACACTGTTTTCCCTAGTGGTTGTGCTAGTTTACATTCTCTCCAGCAGTGTAGAAGTGTTCCCTTTTCACTGCATCCATATCAACATCTATAATTTTTTTTTTATGTTTTGATTACGGCCATTCTTGTGGGAATAAAATGGTACCACACTGTGGTTTTGATTTGCATTTCCCTGATCATTAGTGATGTTGAGCATTTTTTTCATATATTTGTTGGCCATGTGTATATCTTCCTTGAGAATTGTCTATTCATGTCCATAGCCCAATTTTGATGGGATTATTTTTTTCTTGCTAATTTCTTTGAGTTCCCTGTAGATTCTAGTCCTTTGTTGGATGTATGGGTTATAAAGATTTTTTTTTCCTCACTCTGTGGGTTGGAAAAATCTTCTATTCTTTAAATAAATACAACAATGAATGGCAATAAAAGTAGAAACCAAATGTAGCTCTATTTTTGGTTCATTATACAGAGCAAAAAGCCACTGTTTATAAACCTTGTCAATTCAGTCATCCTATACTTTTCAACATGTCTTTTTTCTTTCCTTTTATATTTTTCTATATCACTGAATCAAAAATGTTGATTAGTATGGCTTGATTTGATTTAATACACTAGAATTAAGGGACTTTATTTAAATAAATTTCTCCAGAAACACATTTTGTTATTGTAGCTTTCTGAAAATGGATCAAAGATTCTAATCTCTTGGGTACTTACGTGCTTCAGCTCAAGTCATATTGTAGTATGGCATTGATAATAACAATTTCAGGTGACTCCAACTTGTCATAAAACTACTAATTCTAAAGTATAATTCTATCTTTCATTATTTTTTCTTACTAGCAATTTTATTCCTTAAAAATGATGTCTATGTTAACAACTCTCAATTCCCAATATGACAATGAGGTTCAATAGGGAGCTATATAAACACCAGGGATTTTTTTTTTCTTTTTCTTTCTAACTTTTATGTTCAAGGGGTAGATGTCCAGGTTTGTTATATGGGGAGATTGCATATGATGGGGGTTTAAGGTACAAATAATTTTATCATACTCAATAGGTAGTTTTTCTATCCTCATCCTCCTCCCAGCCTCCACCCTCAAATACGCCCCAGTGTCTGTTGTTCCCTTGTGTCCATGGGTACTCAATGCTTAGCTCCACTTATAAGTGAGAACATGCAGTATTTGGTTTTCCACTATCAGGAATGTTTTAACAGTTCACATTTCTTGATTGTTTTGTCTTCACCTATAACATGTTGTACTTCACCAGAGTAAAAATTCTATCAAAATCATTAAAACGTTAATTAAAATTCAGCATTTAATAAATATATATGCATCAAAGAATGAAGGAGATATGGATACTTGTACAAATTTGTCTTAAGTGATTGAGTTTTAAATAGTAGCTTTCATTCTGTGCCAGTCACTTAGCAAATCAATCAATCAAATGTTTATTAAGCATATGTCAACATGTCAGCATGGAATAAAGTAGTATGGAGTCATAAGACAAGACCCCAATCTACAGGAAATTTAAGACATAAGTTGATAGAGTGCTCAAGTGAGTAGTAGAGAGGATAGGGAACTAGGAACTCATTGAGAGATTTAGACTTGTAGTTATTACATTTTTCTGACCAAGGCCTATTTTTAGGTGGAGCCACAGAGCCCAAGATCATTTACCTAACCATCCCTAAATTTTTTATTTTTTATTTTTTATTTTTTTTATTGCATTTTAGGTTTTGGGGTACATGTGAAGAACATGCAAGATTGTTGCCTAGGTACACACATGACAGTGTGATTTGCTGCCTTCCTCCCCCTCACCTATATCCGGCATTTCTCCCCATGCCATCCCCTCCCCAACTCCCCACCCCCTGCTGTCCCTCCCCTATTTCCCTCCAACAGACCCCAGTGTGTAGTGCTCCCCTCCCTGTGTCCATGTGTTCTCATTGTTCAACACCCACATGTGAGTGAGAACATGCGGTGTTTGATTTTCTGCTCCTGTGTCAGTTTGCTGAGAATGATGACTCCCAGGTTCATCCATGTCCCTACAAAGGACACGAACTCATCGTTGTTGATGGCTGTGTAATATTCCATGGTGTATATGTGCCACATTTTCCCTGTCCAGTCTATCATCGATGGGCATTTGGATTGGTTCCAGGTCTTTGCTATTGTAAACTGTGCTGCAGTGAACATTCGTGTGCATGTGTCCTTATAGTAGAACGATTTATAATCCTTTGGATATATACCCAGTAATGGGATTGCTGGATCAAATGGAATTTCTATTTCTAGGTCCTTGAGGAATCGCCGCACTGTCTTCCACAATGGTTGAACTAGTTTATACTCCCACCAACAGTGCAAAAGTGTTCCTATTTCTCCACATCCTCTCCAGCATCTGTTGTCTCCAGATTTTTTAATGATCGCCATTTTAACTGGCGTGAGATGGTATCTCCATGTAGTTTTGATTTGCATTTCTCTAATGACCAGTGATGATGAGCATTTTTTCATATGTTTGTTGGCCTCATGTATGTCTTCTTTTGTAAAGTGTCCGTTTATATCCTTTGCCCACTTTTGAATGGGCAAAACCATTCAGGACATAGGCGTAGGCAAGGACTTCATGACCAAAACACCAAAAGCATTGGCAACAAAAGCAAAAATAGACAAATGAGACCTAATCAAACTCCACAGCTTCTGCACAGCAAAAGAAACAGTCATTAGAGTGAATTGGCAACCAACAGAATGGGAAAAAACTTTTGCAGTTTACCCATCTGACAAAGGGCTGATATCCAGAATTTACAAAGAACTAAAATAGATTTACAAGAAAAAAACCATCCCTAAATTTCTGTTTAAAATAACTAGATGAATATAATGAAAAGTCACTGTACAAGTAATTTTTGGCTGAAGGATGATATATACAAATCTGTTTTGTAATATAGATATGAAAGAGAAGGTTCTTGACTCACATGCATACAAGCCTAATTATTGAAACACTATACTGAAAAATACTGTTGTTGTAGATATTCATTGATGGTGACTATATGGTTAGTCAATAACAAATCAAATTAATAATGAAAGAACTCAAACAAGAGTAATTTATCAAGAAATAAACAGAATAGAAGCAATTGAAATGCACAGCCATCTCAAGATAACTGATGATGTAATGTTAGTAAAACACCTTTCCCACAGTTTGCAGAAATTTCAACTATCTGTGTGTATGCCCAGGAGTTTTATAATATAAGTGTAGAATACTGCCTGATATTGGAGGCACTTAATATGTGAATGACTGAATGTTGCCTAGATGTGTGTGAACATCAGACTTCATAGTATTATAGTGATTTTTAAAACCTTAGTTATAATAACCAATATTAGTTTATGATGACCACATTTTTATAGGTCTTAATTCCCTTAATTTGTTGGTTGAACATAAAAGTTTTTGGAATCTTGCATAATTTCTCAATGAGAATCAAACAGTTTCTATTTTTAGATTAGTTTGAGGTCCATCTGGAGGAATTTTTCTGCTCAAAAGGTGGTCTCTACCTATCACTTAAGAATCACTGGTTAATCAGAACGAGAAAGTGCTATGAGTAAATATTAGCAAGGCAGATAAGATATTTTGGCATAGATGGGATTTGAGCTAAACTTAGATCAATAGAAAACATCAGGAGAGTCAGGAAAAAAGATATTGCTGATGAAGCATATCTATTTAGTATGGGAGAATGGGAGAATTTCTTCTTAACCTATTAGAACGGAACCTGCAACATTAAGCCATCAGCTGATGAATTCACAGGTTTTAAAACCTTATTCCCTAAATGATAGAATCTTGCATCCATAGAATAAAAATGATGTTCTGGCCTAAACCTTGGAGTGTTAAATTTCCCTTAAGGCACGCAAGCCAGAGGAGATGAGTTAGGGTGATAGGAAAGGCACTCTGCCACGAAGCTGCTTTCCACTTTTAGACAAGGAAACCTTCTCTAGTCATTCTCACATGTAAAATTGTAGGCGAGCCTAGTCATTTAACATATTTATGTTAAATGACTGCTTGATATTCAACAGTGCAGCTTGATATTCAGATTTGGTCTGCACTGTGGCGCTGGCAGTGGTATTTTCAAAAAGCATCCCGATTGATACTAATGGGCAGCCAGGATTGAGAAGATCACTGGTCTCTGAGTGGTTCCTATTTTGCCTTGCTGCTATAAACTTCTAGAGCCTAAGTGAGTCACACAGGAAACTCGATTCATTACAAATAATAGTAAAATGCCACATATCAAGAAATATAGAACTGTCTCACACTTTAACAGGCATTCGATGTTACATATTGAAATTTGTAAATACAAACCAAAATTATGGAAAGATTTCTTGCTGTCTTTGGCCCCCATCCTTTTCTCAATCAGTCTTCCTTTAGGGAAAAGCAAACCTATCCTTTATGATCACCTTGCAAAAGAGAAATCATTTAACAGTATTTATATAAATATGGGTAAGTATTTGTGGTAACTTTGTCATAATTTTCATTTTAAAAAGTTTTTTCTGAGAAAATGGTAAATTTCCTATTTTAAAGAGGAATTTCTAAAGAATCTAAACACAATGAAAGAATAAAATACTGATAAAATATTGAATGAGAGCTTTTACCAATCAATCACACTAAACAAATCACTTGTCATAGCAGTGAGCACAAAAGAAGCATTTGCCTTCCTCAGAAACTACAAATGCCTTTTCATTTTTCTCTTAGGCTCTTTTCTGTAAGTTGACCTTTCAGCCTGTTCCAGGTTTGGGAACTGTCTGTCTGTTCTAGCAGGCAAACATGAAGAGAGCAATAGTTGACAATAGCTTTATATTTATCAGATATTGGCAAACTAGAGATTTCCCAGATGGACAGTCAGGATGGTAATGTACAAAGGAATCAGGTCACATGAAGAATAAGTAAGGAAACTGGCTTTGTTCAACATTAAGAAGGTGAGATTTAGCAGGCATATAATCTCTGTTTTCAACTTTCAGAAAAACATTTTTGTAAAAGAGAGCATACATTTTTATTTTACTGCTCTGGATCATAGAACAAAGTTGAAGGAAGAGAGAGATCATTTAAATATTAGGAAGAGCTTTCTAACACTCCTTGGTGTCCAAAAGTGGAGTGAGCAGCCTCAAATCAAGTAAGTAGGCCAGCACCAGTGCATTTCATGCAGAGGCTGGGGGAGCACAGATTAAGGAAATTGTACAAAAGCGTCCTGGATTAAAAAGAGAATTTATAATAAATTACCTTCCATCTCAAAACATCTATGTTTCTATGAATTCTTGTGGAGAAATTTTTCTAACAGAATATTAATATCTCCATTCAAGCATTGCAGCTGGCTTGACACAGTCTGAAAAATTTGCCCCAATTGTTTGAACACCTCACTTTTCATGAGAACCACTTGGTCACGAATTTTTTTTTTTTTTTTTTGCTTCCTTTTTCTAATACTAGGATTTTTCTTTTACTTTGGTTTTTGTTTTCTTTATATCAGGTTGTAGACCTACTCGCCAGTATTTTAGATCACTTTGATTGCCACCAGATATACACATCTGTACTGTATAACTGACAGCTGCTCAAATCAGGCCAGTACTTGATGTAATCGATTGATCCTCTTGCCATACCAGTTGTTAAATACTTTATATATTACCTGGTTACAGCCATATATTTATTGAAAGATGGAAAAATGGTGACTTCAAAAATATATTCTGTATAAAATGAGCAAGACCTTTAAGGCTTTTGTATGCCTCAAAGAAGATTTTACATATTTTCTTCCGTACATCAAGGAGGACATTTCTCAGCCGGTATCTTGTAGGTGAATTTTTCAAATGTCAACAATGAAAGCATTTTTTAAGCTCTATTCCTTTTCTTTGCTAGGGGGAGCACATGATGATAGAAATAAATCTCGTCCAGTTGTGATAACATGTGTTCGTCCTGGAGGGCCTGCTGACAGGTAAACTTTATCTTTCTGTGTCACTACCCAAAATAGAATAAATAAAGCTGGGGACTTTGGCCATAGAAGTTGATAAATAGAAAATTTACAGTAAAATATAGGCATTAAGCAAACATGTTACAATGTGAAAACTGAGAGTCTGAGCTATGGAATCAGAAAAAATAAGATTTGCCTCTAGATTTTATACTTACTACACTATATCTTTGTCAGGTGACTTAACACTGAACTCAATTTCCACCACCATTGGAAATGTAGATAATAATACCTACCTTTCAGAGCTGTTCAGTGTTATCAAAGATTGGAGATATGTAATGCCTTGCAGGGAGTCTGGCACAGGGGAGGCACTTACAAAAGGCAGCTGGCTCTTTTAGAGCAAACACTGGAAATGCATCTTCTTCCATTGCTAAGCTCTCAGCCTGGACAGATAGGTGATGGTGGTGACATTTATACCATTCTCAACATTTTTATCGTTATTAGTGTTACCTTTTGATAGGGACTATATAGGTCAGACTGGAAGTGACTTTTAGTAAAAAGGAAGACATTTCGTCAGTCTCTAGAATTTTCTCTTCTTTGCATTTCTCTTCCTTGCTAATTTGAATATGTGAAAGGCCAGTGCATTCAACTTTCCTGTTATAAGCCTTGTAGAACCCCAAGTAAACTCACAACTTAGGTGTCTCTGGAGAAACTCATCTCCGTATTAGTTTCCCACAGCAAAAGTTGATTCCAGAATGAAGGGGGAACACAACTGCTGCCATTAGAGATTGTTGAAGGAGAGGAGGAAAATGCACTGATTCCTTCTGTCTCTCTGTTTCCGACCAGGATAAACTTAAAAACATTTGTTAAGAGATAGAAATAATAATGATAACCATTATTTATTAACCACTCACTATGTGCCAGGAACTGTTCTGAGTGTTTGGCAGGCATTATCTTATTTTACCTTTACAATCACCCTCTAAATGAGGTCTTTGTATCCACATTTACAGATGACAAAACTGCGGCTCAGTATGGCTAAGTGATTTGCCAGTAAGTGAAAGAACTGGGGAAGGAATTTAGGTTTCTTTTCCTTTGAAGCTCGTATGGTTAGCTTGCTTTTAAGAAAGATGATATTTCATATAAAATTAGAAAATAGGAAAACACTGGTTTCTTACTTGTGCTGATGTATATTTGCTTTTGAAGCAGGTAACAAAATGTCCAAGAGCTTTCCCTTTTCCCTTCTCATGTGTCTCTAATGAATCACTCCTCCTGAAGCAAATTAGAATGTTTCATTTCTTGTTAACATTCAGAGTTGGAGTTGACAAAAGTGTCAAAACATAGGCTACAAGCTTGTGAGTGGCATACTTATATTACCAAATTAATTTAAAGCTCAAGGAAATCTGAGAATTTAAGAAAAAATTTGGAGCCCAAAGACTTAGAGAGTGATTTAGGTGAAAGATGTTTATTTCAAAGGTCATTATTATTCTTTCCAAATCCTAAACGTATAATCCCACCTTTTGATCTTCTCATTTTTGTGCCCCTCCCTGAGGCAGGGGAGTGTTATCTGGGGGGGGCCACCCTGGCTGTGGGTGTCACTTTTGTGGTGTCACTGAAGTCCTGAGTTATCTCTTAAGGCCTTGAGTGTCTGTGGTCACAGCAGGGAGAATAGTATTTGCCTGCCTCTTCCAGGGAATATGAGATTGAATCGATTTAATGATTGCCAAATGGCCTTATAAATCAGTAGGGAAATTTATAGACAAGGGAAATTTCTCACCAGCAGTTCCTATTTTGCTTGAGTTTACTGGTAATACTTTGAATGAAATTAGCAGGCTTTTCTGCTTACCTGACTTTGGGAAAATAGGTGAATACTATTTTCTGGGCTCCAATAAATCGGTTTTAGACATTTAGACAAAAACCCAGAAGAGGGAAAATGTGCCCTTCTTACTTTTGTACTCCAAGAATTACCTGTGGGTAGCTAGGTTTTTTGCTAATGTGTAGTTATTTTCTCATTACTGATTTTCATATGACAGCAATTTTCTGTTCAGGGTTACCTCTTTATACTCTTACGGTCACACTTGATGCTTAAAATGAATGCAAATGGGTTGGATGGCAGAATGTGTGTGACAAAATGAATTTGGCTAAGTGACTATTAATACCAAGCCTCATTATGCTAAATTAATAAAGACTGTTCCTTTATTCTCCCTTCAGAGAGGGCACGATCAAACCTGGTGACAGGTTGCTCAGTGTGGATGGAATTCGGCTTCTTGGAACCACACATGCTGAAGCCATGAGTATTCTTAAACAATGTGGACAAGAAGCAACACTGCTGATAGAATATGATGTCTCAGTAATGGGTATGTTCAAGTCCTGAGGGCGTGATGTGATGTCTAAGCTCTAGGACGTTGTCATCTGTCCCTGATAAACCATTTTGAATTAAGTATGTATTGTCATGCCTTCCTGGAGCAGAGAGAATTCATAAATACATATCATTTTACTCTGAGTTCAGGAAGATGTGAGTGGCTATAGTTTTCAGTGATGTAGAGTTCTCATGTCAATAAGTTCCATCAGTGTTTTACCTAGCAATCAGCTCTTCTATGTGGATTACCCTTTGGCAGCAAAGTGTTTTTCCCCTCCAAATCACAAAAATAATATTATTAACTTAAGGATTGGTCCTTTTTTTTATTACATAGAGACTGATAGCAGTAGGTGATTTCTTTCCTTCTTGTAACTTCACCATATGAAGCCAGCTAATCAAAATAATACAAATGGCCATTAATTGAATCATCATATTTAGGGATAAGGAAAATAAAGGAGATGTAGCATCATTGATTAAAATTAAAAGTGAGTGCTATTTTCTTTTTTAAAATTATGATTCTAATAGAAAGAAACTATTTCTATACTCATAGTAAAACTGGCAAGATATTCTCATGTGGCTTTTAAATGTTAGGAGAGCCAGCGTTTTGTGTAATATTGACTAAGGCGGAAAAATTATGAGAGAATGAATTGGAACTTGAAATTGAGGCTTAAATCATGTTGTGACTACACCTTACAAGTATCAGAGTCAATTAGGTGGCCCAGCTTTACCAGCCAGTTTTATGCTTGTGAAATGTAGCTGAGAAAAAGAGGCTTATTCTATAACTGCATACTCCTTTATTTCTCATTCTGTATGACTCATACAGAACAGTGTCGTATGAGAGTATTCTTAATCTGTTTGCTGGCCTGAAAGATCTGGAGAGAGAGTATGAGGTTTCCTAATGGGAAAGTATGAAACTTAAGGAGTTTTTATAAAGATAAATGATGTGGTATGCCCTTGACATGGAAAGTTAATGAATGAATATTCCCTCCCTTACTTTCCTCCTTCCTTTTTTCCTCTCTTTTCTTCTCTCCATCCTTGCTTCCTTCCTTTCTTTCTCTCTTCTTTGTGTTATATGTTTTCAAATTAGATGTCGAATTAGATTAATTGGGTTCTGTTTGGAACTCTATTAATTTCTAGGTATTAATTTGGAGCATACGATTTGATTTCCCTGTGCCTTATTTGTCAAATGGGGACTAGCATCCCTATTATAAAGGCAATTATGAAGATAAATGAAGATTACATAAGTAAGCTATGTTTTAAGTGATGAGACAAGTGGATTGTTAACATTAAAAATTGAAGCAGATATTTGACATCTAACTCATTTGTTCAGTCTACAAACATTTATTGAACTAAATGGCAGGGACCAAGAATAAGAGGTAAACAAAATAGACTGTTCCCTGCCCTTATGAAGCTTCCAATTTTTAAGAAGAACAAACAGTAAACAAGAACAATACCAAACAAATAAGCTCATAAAGTGTGATCATTGACATACAGGGCATCTGTTTTTTATAAAATCTTTTCTCAGCTTATTTCCCTTCGAAGTTATTTACAGACTTCCATTGTGATAGCCCTCTATCACTCTTAGATAAAGCTGAATAGATACAATTTCAATTACAAACTTAAGATCTTAAATTAGATAAAGAACAATAGTTCAGTAGTATACGTACATATCACTATCAGCATTTTGGTGAAAACTATCCAACAAGTCTCTGGAAAGTTGCAAACTTTCCCACGTCTTATGTTTTCTTCTGAGCCCTCCAAACTGTTCCAACCTCTGCCCGTTACCAAGTTCCAAAGTCGCTTCCACATTTTCAAGTATCTTTATAGCAGTGCTCCATTTCTCTTGATACCAATTTTCTGTATTTGTCTGCTTTCACACTGCTATAAAAAACTACCTGAGATTGGGTAATTTATAATGAAAAGAGGTTTAATTGACTCATAGTTCTGCATGGCTGGGGAGGCCTCAGGAAACTTGTAATCGTGACAGAATACGAAGGAGAAGCAAGGCATATATTACATGACAGCAGGAGAGGGAGAGAGAGAGAAAGAGAGAGACCACCACACACTTTTAAACCATCAGATCTTCTGAGAACTCACTATCATAAGTTTTTCCCTACCCCCATGATCCAATCACCTCCCACCATGTCCTTCCCTCAACATGTGGGATTACAATTGGAGATGAGATTTGCTTGAGAACACAAAGCCAAACTATATCAACCAGCCTAAGGAGGGAATTTATTAGCCTACGAGAGTAAAAAGCCCAAGGTATATCCTGGCTTTAGACACAAGTTTAATAATGTCATAGGAGTTTTGTCTCTCAGATCTTCTTGCCTAAGAAAGGCTCTGCTATGTCATGGGAAGATGGCCCTACCACCCACAAGTCTACATTATTTTGAGAGTTTGTGATGCCAGAAATAGAAACAAGACTGATCGCCTCTAAAAGATTCTTAATGACTTAGCTTGGGGCAAATGCTGATCACTACACTAAGCACTATGTCCAGGGATATAGTGGAGTCTACAGCTGTGGTATGGAAGACAAGAACATATGTTGAATGGCCCAAACAGAATGAGCCAGAGTTACGGCAGTTCCCCAAAGTAGATGATGTGGGATTGACAAAGAAAATAATAGGTGCCATTTTAGGACATAACTAAATGTTAAATACTGTATTCTCACTAATAGTATATGAGAGTTTACTTTGCTTCACATCCTCACTAGTGCTTGTTATTTGTATTAGTCCATTTTCACACTGCTGATAAAGACATACCTGAGACTAGGCAATTTACCAAAGAAAGAGGTTTAATGGACTCACAGGACAACATGACTAGGGAGGCCTCATAATCGTGGCAGAAGGTGAAAGGAACATTTCACATGGTGGCAGACAAAAGAAAAGAACTTGTGCAGAGAAACTCCCCTTTATAAGACCATCAGATCTCATGAGACTTATTCACTATCACGAAAATAGCGTGGGAAAGACCCGCCACCATGATTCAATTACCTCCCACAATACGTGGGAAATGTGAAAGCTACAATTCAAGATGAGATTTGGATGGGGACACAACCAAGCCATATCAGTATTCTCCGCCCATTTCATTCTAACCATTCTGATCAGCATGTGGTAGTATCTCATTTTAAGTTTGATGTACATTTCTTGGATGAATAATAATGTGGAGCACCTTTTCGTAGCCAGTGAGACATGCCTGTGGCTTTGGTTTTACTTTCATTAATAATACTTTGATTTATTTACATACTGTTACAAGTACACAACTTATTTTTTAGAAAATGTGTATGTGTATGTGATGTATGTGTGTTAGTATGTGTGTGTACAGTATAGATATCAATACCTCAACCCTGGAATCAGATATCTCTTTTTTTTTTTTTTTTTTTTTAGTAAATCCCAAATGATAAATTTTAGCAAATTCTGTGGTCTGTTTAGGAAAGCTATTGAAACTATCAATTTTATTACCTAAAGTTGAATTTAGTCTGTGTTGACAATTTAAGGACAATTTTTTGAAATAAGAAAGACTGAGAAAAATAAGTTTGAAGAAAAATTAAGAGTTCGATTTTGGACATGCTAAGTTTGAGATGTCTGTCCATGTAAGTGGAGGTATGAGTTGAAAGTTGAGTATTTCAGGTGGAGTTCAGTACAGAGGTCAGGGCAGAAGATATAAATTTTTAAGTCACCATCACTTATATTGCAAGGCTAGATGAGACACATAGGGAAGAGAGCTTAGAAAGAGAAGAGAGAGCCCAAAGGACTGAACTCTGAGACCATCCAGTAGTTACATCAGGAAGGTGAAGAGGACCCTGTAGAATAAATTGAGGAGGCCAATGCATTGATGGAGACAGTGAACCAAGGCAGAGCATGGAGTCACAGAGGCCAGATTTCTTCTGTGTAAAATGGTGGTAATTACACCACCACACTCTCAAGTTGCCATGAGGAGCAAAAGGGTTAATGCTTTGCACATCATATGTGCTCAAGAAGTTGTGAACAAATTATTTTAAATTTGTATGGGAAAAACCTCCACTTCAATATTGTTGAAATATATTACCAAATGACTGGGTCTGAGAGCCCTGTGGTTGGAAAAGTTACATAAAAGTATAAGGAAATCATGAGCATCTTTTATTTTTCTTCTTCTATTTTTAAGTTTAGAGGTATATGTACAGGATGTGCAGGTTTATTACATAGGAGAACATGTGCCATGGTGGTTTGCTGCACAGATCAACCCATCACCTAGGTATTAAGCTCAGCATTCATTAGCTCTTCTACCTGATGTTCTCCCTCCCCCAACTCCCCCAAAAGGCCTCAGTGTTTGTTGTTCCGCTCCATGTGTCCATGTGTTCTCATCATTCAGCTCCCACTTATAAGTGAGAACATGCAGTGTTTGATTTTCTCTTTAATGCATTAGTTTGCTGAGGATAACAGCTTCCAGCTCCATCCATGTCCCTGCAAAGGACATGCTCTCATTCCTTTTTATGGCTGCATAGTATTCCATAGTGCATGTGTACCACATTTTCTTTATCCAGTCTGTCATTGATAGGCACTTGGGTTGATTCCATGTCTTTGGAAAGCATGAACATCTAAGGAAAAAAGTTCAGAAAGCAATGACTATAGTTAAAATACAGTGACTTTTAAAGTCAGACAAACTTGATTTTGGATCTTCACTTTCTGTTGACTTTGGACAATATTTAACCCCTCTAAGCTTCAACTTTTCCATCTCTAAAATAGGGATGATAGTAGTACTTCTTCATATGATTGATGAAAAGATGAAATGAATGAATACATGTAAAGTGCTCGCCTTAACAAACTGTTAGTAAATTAAATTGGCTCCTTTCATGCCCCGCTTCTCTAAAATGAACCTCAAATCTCTAATTACGCTGAATTAAGATGCAGCTGATGGTTCACTCTGTGACAACATTGAATCATTGCTAAAAAGCACATTTGGAAATGACATGTTCTGGATTATTTTATTTTCTAAAAGTTCATCAGAATACTTATT